CATCGTGGCGATGTAGCGCAGCAGGAAGTGGAAGTCGTAGCCGCCCCCGTTGTGAAAGACCACTGGGATGGTCTTGGGCGTCTGGGCCGCGATGTTGCAGGAGTGGCACAGCGCCCCGAGATACTGCCCAGTGCCATGGCAGTGGTGGAGCTTCTTCTCAGCAATCTCGAAGGACGCGAGGCACTCCCTGCAGTGAGTGGCGGCCCTGTGCTCCAGCTCCTCCCGCCGGGTCATGCTGACGGCTCCAGGTGAGGTAGTGGTCGGCCAGCTTGAGAAGGTCGTCCAGCATGGCGCGGACGGCGTGGAACTTGCCGCTGTCCCGCTCGTGGTGCGTGAGCCTCAGCCTCAGCTCCTCGGGTGGCACGTAGCCGCAGCGCCCGACGGCGACGTAGCAGGAAGAAGCCGCGCCGGTCTGGCGCGCCGGCTGCTGCTGCGCTATGTGGACCGTCGGGGCGGGCGTGCTGTAGACCTCGAGGTCCGCGTAGCACGTGAGGGGCGCGAGCTCTGCGGAGGCCTTGCCCCTGTAGCGCAGCAGGCTCTTCTCGGGCCCGGGCAGCGGCACTTTCCGAGTGCGCTCGGCTAACTCTCGATAGCACTGGGTGGCGCGGTGGCGCTGCCACGAGGCCTTCAGGGTGAAGCGGGCCATGCACCTCGGGCACTTGTACTCCCTGCAGCCGCCGGTGTTGGCGGGCGTGGCTCCCAGGGTCAGCCCCTGTCTGCTGGCCAGCGCCTGGAAGTTGTGGATCAATCTGTAGTGGCCGCTGTGCAGCAGAAGCAGCACGGTGTGCTGGACGACGCCCGTGCCGCTCGGGGCGCGCTGCTGGAGGACGTGGTAGTACTCCAGCCCGTCCGCCCACAGGGTTCGCTGCCACCCGAAGACGAAGACCTCCACCCGCCCCGCGTTGCGGAGCTCGAAGGCGTCGATGTCGTCGAAGCCCACGGGGCGGTCCGTCGGCAGGCCAGAGAAGTCCACCCCCGCGTCGGCCAGAGCGGGCTGCCATCCCGCGGGGCGGCGTCCGCGGCGGCTCATCTCGGGGTAGAGGAAGGAGCCCGAGCAGCTCGTGGCCCTTGACCGCTGGAGCTTGTCGAGCTCGTCGACCCCGAGGCAGTGGGCGAGGACGCACCACATGAAGCAGCGGTGGTCCTCGTTCCGAGGGTTCCAGATGGCCTTCTCCTTGGCCAGGGTCTCGGGCAGCTCCTTCCAGCAGCCTCCCGCCTCGTTGGGCGGCGGGGGCGCGGGCATGTCGGCCAGCTGCTGCGAGGGCGCAGTCAGCAAATACGCCGCCGTGATGCCCACGACGGTCCAGTTAGACTCGGGGACGCGGGAGCGCTCGACCGCGACCTCGAACTTCGTCCTGATGGCCGCCATCATGGTTCCGGCGCGGGCCGACAGAGGCGCGGGCCTCACGATCCACGGCGCCAGCCTGAGGTAGTGGAGCGTGAGCCCCGCGTCGTTTGCGGTCGGGCGCCTCAGCAGGATCTGGAAGCTGACCTTGGCGAGGAAGGGCAGCCGAATGACCAGCAGGTCTTGGAGCCGGTCCACCAGCAGCCGCAAGGCGTCGATGGTGAAGACCTGCTGCTCAGGAAGAGGGCGCAGCCGCAGCTCGCGGGTCCAAGCGGCCCCACGCGGGCGCAGTTCTGTCACATCGGCCTCGGCGCTAGGCGCGCGCGGCTCCTCCAGAGGCACCGCCCGGACGGAGGCGAGGCCCAGGCGGCCCCAGATGAGATCAGACAGCTCGGAGGTCATGGCGCGAATTGGTTTGAGCTGAATAAATTGCTTTCTATAGAAAAATAATAAAATATTCAGTCGGTCGGACGGGTGCTTCTTTTTTCTGTCACGTTCTGTCCTGGCTTCTGTTCTGTCCCGGATTCTACCGCGTCACAGCGAGTCGGTGCTGCTGCCCTGCAGGTTCAGCGCAGTGAGGAGCTCTCTGGAGGCCTCGTCCAGCTCCTTGCGCGCCTTCTCAACCCGCTCCAAGGCTGCGAGGGTTGCGCTCGTGGCCGCCAGCGAGACCGGCAGCCGCTCAGCGATCTTCTTGCTGACGAGCTGCTCCTCCACCTCGTAGAGCTCTCTCTCGATCTGCGCCAGCGAGGCGATGTCGCTCGTGCGAATGCGGCGCTGCCTCAGGGCCTCGCGCTGCTCGCGGAGCGTCTCGCAGCTCTCCTCCTGGCGCTCCTCGGCCACCGCGGGAGCGGAGCAGCGGGCCGTGCGCTGGTTGAGGCGCTTGCGAAGCTAGAGCCGAAGCTCTTGGGAGCGCTTCAGCATGTCCCTCCAGTCCTGCATGTCGACCTCCTCCGCCGGGAACCTGCCGGCGACCCCGTCAGCCAGCAGCCGCTCCAGCACGGGCACTCCCCGAGTGAGCTCATCATGCAGGCGGCTCACCTCCTCCAGAGAGGCTCCCCGCTTCGGCGCCTCGGCATCGACGGCGGCCCTCAGCAGAGGCCTCAGCTGCTCGCGGCGCTCCAGGACGTGGGTGGCCATTCTGATTTTTTTTACTGAGCGAAAAAAGGCTGCGGCATCGGAAGAAATCACAGCGGGCACTCTCGAGAAGGTGGCTCCACACGCAGATCTGTGACCTCAAGGCTCAACCCGCACATGCCGCTCATCAACCACAAGCTGCGAGCTCTCAGCCTAACGCGCGCGGCGCAGTGAGCCAGCTCGGCGGGGCGGTCCGCAAACGTGCCGCCGGCGTTCCAGCAGCGCGCGTGGGCCGGCAGCTTGGCTTTCAGCATCCAATCGCCGCCGCGCGATTGCCTCACAGAGGGCAGCAGTCGCTGGCGCACAGCCTCGGGCGTGAGCTTTGCGTCGAAGACGCGCTCGGATGCGGCCGCCAGCTGCTCGACCAGATCGGTCTCGGCCCGCTCCCAGAAAAGCCTCGCGCGCTCATCGGTTGCAAAGCTCACGCTGGGCCGCTGCCCCTCGGAGAAGGCCCTGGGCTCCCATGGGATTTCCAGCGAAGCTTCGCTCTGCCAAAACAGCGGCTCCAAGCACAAGAATTTGCCACCCTTAGCATTGGAGCGCACCTCGCCCAACTTCCACATGCTAGCCTGGCGCGTCATCCTTTTCTGTCCCCGATTAAAAAAAGATTGGTCCGAGCATGCGAAACTGCTTGACCCGCGCCCTTGCCTGTGCGTGCTTTGTTGCGCTGGTGGTAATTGTTAAACATGCCGAGACTGCTGGAGCTGTTTTGCGGCACAAAGTCGATTGGCCGAGCCTTCGAGGCGGCAGGGTGGGAGGTCGTCTTTCTGGACATCGTGTCGAAATTTGAGCCCACGATCCTGTGCGACATCCGGAGCTGGGACTACGCGCTGTTTCCGCCGGGGCACTTTGACATGGTCTGGGCCAGCCCGGTCTGCACGGAGTACAGCCGAGCTCTGACGATGCGCCCTCGACGACTCGAGGAGGGCGACGTGCTGGTGCTCAGAGCCCTTGACATCATGGCGCACTTCGACCCGCTCATGTGGGTCATCGAGAATCCGGCCACCGGGCTGCTGAAGACCCGACCGTTCATGGAGCGCCTACCCTGGGTGGACGTTACCTACTGCAAGTACGGGACTCCGTACAGGAAGCAGACTCGGCTGTGGACCAACATGCGCTGGAGGCCGAGCCGAGGGCTGCGCAGGAGCGGCAGCCGGTGCGATGCGTGGGAAGACGGGAGGCATCTGAGGGGCGCCCAAGGGGGGCCTTGACTCATGGGGGGCCAGCGCGAGAGGGTCAGAGGGCAGTCGCGCGAGCTGCTTTACAGCATTCCTACGGCGCTGTGCGAGGAGATTGCGAGCGCGGCCACGGCAGAGCTTGCGGATCGGCTGAGCATCCCGGACTGAAGCGAGGATCATTTCTTATAAAATCCTTCTCGGACCTGGACCCACCAAATCCCACCGGTGCACAGAGCTAGAGCAGTTGGGCGGCTGGGTGGCTTCGGTCTTGGAACAATGAAATAGGGGTCCAACACTCAGGCACAACGGGGCACGTCCCTGAAGTTTAAGATGCTCATTTGCATGTGTTGGTCTAAGGAAGGTGCAATGTATGCGGCACTGAGTCTTGCACCCACATCGAGACAACATATACCCCGCAATCAAAGTACTCGGGCTCCTTCCTGGAGTCCGGAGCAGGCTTCGTATTTCCGATACGTGATCCTGACTGAAAAAAAAAAAAAGCGCAATCGGCACACATTCGGAGCCCGCACATAGCCAGTATCAAACGAGGTTGGGCGAGCCAGTATCAAACGAGGTTGGGCGAACCCGTACTAAGTGCCGTTGGGCGAACCCGTACTAAGTGCCGTTGGGCGAACTCGTACTAAGGGCCGTTGGGCTAACCAGTATCAACACGTTCGTTGATCCTACTGGCAAGCACTTGCTCAGCGCCGCGCTTATTCAGCGCACCTACCTACAGGCACTTGCTCAGTGCCGCGCTTATTCAGCGCACCTACCTACAGGCACTTGCTCAGTGCCGCGCTTATTCAGCGCACCTACCTACAGGCACTTGCTCAGTGCCGCGCTTATTCAGCGCACCTACCTACAGGCACTTGCTCAGTGCCGCGCTTATTCAGCGCCCCACAACCCCACCCTGGTCGCAGACTCTTTTTCACTGGGTCCTGTCGCGGTGCAAAAAAAAAGAAATGTGGCTGCCGAGAAGAGCAAATGTCCTCGCCCAGTCCCTTCGGAAGCGCCTTTCCGGAACGCAAGTGTTGCACCATGGAAATTGAGCCTCTAGAAAACAAAAGAACTTGCCTTGCAGGTCAACGTAGTTTCCAAAGCCTGTCAAAGTCGGAGTGGAAGGATACTTCAAAAAAGAACGCATTCCTCGTGCCTGACGTCCCTGAGCGGCGTGCTTTGTCTTCTTGTCTTCCTGAAGGTCGGAACTAGCAACAGTGAAATGGCGATTGCGGCAAGCCTTGGCGACAGAGCTGCTGTCAGGCTGAGATTTCCTCTTGCGTCCCTGCACCAAACAGACACAAAGAGATGCAACTCCACAAACATGGAAGAATTGCAATTCAGGCCTGCTCTGCAGTCAGCCGCGCGATCTCGACGCGAAGGCTCTCCACGGTCTGGTTGCCAACGTGGCTGGCTGCCTTGAACTCCGCCAGATCTGCGCCGAGTTTCTCATTCAGGGCACGAAACGAAGCAACACTAGCGTGCAAATCCAGCTTCTCCTGCAACAGCTCTTTGTTCTGAAGCTCCAAGGCGCTGATTCTATCCCGAGCGCCAGCAAGTTCGGCGTTCATCCTGTCCAGAACAGCATCCTTGTGGGCCTGGGCGCAGTCGTAGGGAGGGTGGCTACACGAACGCTGAGCTGAGGCAGGAGCCTCCTGAACCTGCTTGGAGGCCCTCGCCTCCCTCCTGCCCTGGTGGCTGACGCCGCCTCTCCTGCCACAGGTGTGTGGACGAAAAGACGAACGAGTCGCCGCCTTGCCTGTGAGCGTGCTTTCCTCTCCAGCGCTCCTCATCACCTGGCCAAAGAACATCAAAACGGTCACGCAAAAGCAAGAGGAACATGTTTCCGAGCCTTGAGCATGATCGTCCCCCCTCCAGTTTCCATGACCTGTCAACGAGCAACTCGACGAGACGGCAAACCCCTCCCCCCGGCGCCTGCGCCCCAGTCCTCACCAGACCATGTGCCCCACTCCTCGCCGCCCCAACCTGTCAACGAGCAACTAAAAAAAGATTGAGTTCCCACCCCAACGGCCGCCTGCGTCAGGCCCCCACGGGCCCCACTCCTCGCCGCCCCAACCTGGCAACGAGCAACTAAAAGATTGAGTTCCCACCCCAACGGCCGCCTGCGTCAGGCCCCCACGGGCCCCACATCTCGTCCTGAGCCAAACAAAAAAAAAACATGCGTTTCTTCGAGAAAAAGGAAAGGCCGGCCTCTACTCCATGATCCCCCATCGCGGGTCCGAGCCAGTGCTGCTGCTGTTGCCGCTGTTGCTGCTGTTGCCGCTGTTGCTGCTGTTTCCGAGCCGAGGGTTGCTGCTGTTTTCCGAGCCGAGGGGGTGCTGGTGCTGTTGCTGGTGCTGTTGCTGGTGCTGGTGTCCTCGGGCCGGCGCTGTGCGGAGCATCACTCAACCGTTCACATGGAACCCTCCTCCACTTCAACCTTCAAAGTTCTCATCTTGCCACACGAATCCGAGGTCTCCAGTCAAAATCAAGCAAAACAAACCAACGTGACATCCGTGCAAAACCGCAGCCGCGAGAACCTCCGGCGTTCCCGCACCCCAGCATCCCCCAGCATCCCCAGCAGAGGCGTCCCGAGCAGGACACCATGAAAAAACACGCAAAAAACCAAGCAAAAAAAATCATGTCATGCCAAAACCAAGCAAATGTCACACCATGCAAAAAAAAATCATGTCATGCCAAAACCAAGCAAATGTCACACCATGCAAAATCGTGTCATGCAAAGCCGTGCAAAATCGTGCGAAACGAGCTAGGTCGCCTGAGCGCGTATGCGAAAGGCTACGCTGAGGCGTAAAACACCGGTCGGAGGCGAAAAGAACCGTCTCGGACATGGGGAAATACTTTCCCAAGGAGAGGCGCTCACTGGGCTGGAGGTGGAAAGATCCGTCTCTCCACAATGAACCGTCTCTCCACAATGATCCGTCTCTCCACAATGATCCGTCTCTCCACAATGATCCGTCTCGGGGATTTCTCGCTCCCAGGAGAGGCGCTCACCGGGCTGGAGGCAATAAGATCCGTCTCGGAATTAAAGTCTTTTAAGGAGAGGCGCTCACCGGGCTGGAGGCGGGAAGATCCGTCTTGGACCTTGGAATAAAAGCCCTCTAGGTAGAGGCGGTCACCGGGCTGGAGGCGGAAAGATCCGTCTCTCCACAATGATCCGTCTCTCCACAATGATCCGTCTCGGGGATTTCTCGCTCCCAGGAGAGGCGCTCGCCGGGCTGGAGGCGGGAAGATCCGTCTCGGACCTGGGAATTAAAGTCTTTTAAGGAGAGGCGCTCACCGGGCTGGAGGCAATAAGATCCGTCTCGGACCTGGGAATTAAAGTCTCTTAAGGAGAGGCGCTCACCGGGCTGGAGGTGGGAAGATCCGTCTCGGGGATTTCTTGTTCCCAGGAGAGGCGCTCACCGGGTTGGAGGCGGGAAGATCCGTCTCGGGAATTTCTTATTCCCAGGAGAGGCGCTCACTGGGTTGGAGGTGGGAAGATCCGTCTCGGAGACCCGTCTCGGGTCGAGGGAGAAAAAAGAATTCCCAAAGGCACTCGCCAAGTAAAAAAATGATCCGCGCCCTGGTGGAATCGAGCTCGCGGTCTCCACGCTTCAGAGCTGCTGCGCCTCTTCCGATTGAGCTATGGATCCTTGCTAGTCCAGCACAGAGACCCCAGTGCCAGAGAGCGTCACCAGCTGATAGGCTATCAGGTGGATGAACACATCAGTCATCGTACCGTCGAGCGCCTTGAATGTGAACCGAGCCAGGTCGCCCGAACGGGTGCTGACGCCGCTCAGGGGCATCTTGGGCACGCGCTCTGTCGGGAAGCCCGCTATGAAGCTGTGGCGCAGGTAGCCCGCGCGGTCGATGTCGATGTTGCGCACCGTGTCGTCGTAGGTCCCCGCTAGGACCGATAGGAAGTGGAAGTGCTCCGAGGCTCCCTTCATAGGGTTGTGCGGGTACTGCAGGCTGCCCAGCTGCATCTGCGACTCCAGGACTGTCTTCCTGCCTGGCCGCGCCGATGGGGGCCACGTCCGCCCCGGGTTGGCCAGCAAGTGGATCTTAGAGCCCGCGTCGTTGTCCCAGAAGGTCACGAACGCTCCCATCAGTTTCGTGAAGGCGCGCGCGACGGTGACGTTGTGCTCCGCCCAGAGGCACCGTGGACTGCTGTGTGTGCACCGTGGGGGTAGCTGAACACGAGCGACCTTCCTGAGAGGAGCACGCGGTTGAAGGACTCAACCAGCGCAGAGTCCAGGACAACCTGGGAGGCCAGAACTCGGACGTTCTGGATCTCGAAGGGTGCTCAGCGTGGCTCCCGCCGGGTGCGCCCCGGCGTTCGCAGACCACAGCGCAGTCGTCGCGTCTGCGAACTCGATTTCTATCACCAGGTTCAGCTGCGGCGGCAGCATCTTGCCGCAGCGCAGGATGCCCACCATGGTGGGGCGCAGCAGCACGTCCGCGTAGCCGCTCTGGTGCACCGCGCGGGGCGTCCGAGAGTCGTTCACCTCGTCGAAGCCCTCCACGGCCTTGTTCTGTTGTACTCGCGGCCCTTCAGCAGGTCATGCACGGCCACGGTGCGGCCGTAGTAGTTGATGTCGTCGCAGCGCTGGCCGTTGGCGAAGACCTGGATCCTCTGGATGAAACAGGCGGGGTTCGGAGTGGCCGGCGCCAGCGGGTTGGTGGCGTCCGTGTTTCTGACTCTGAATGCGATCTTGATCGACTCGGGGTCGATGAACGAGGTTCCGCTGGTTGGCGGAATGCGGCAGACCCTCGAGGTGGCGGGGGAGAAGGAGCTCAGCGAGCTGGGGAAATACTGCACGTCGTGCCGTGCAGTCACGTAGTTGGTGTTGCTGGTTTTCAGCTTCCAGACTCTGCATCAACTCATCCTGTGCTCCGGCAGTGACTACCTCCATGCTTCTTACCTGCTTATACACCCCTAATTATTTGGGATTTTTGGTTGCAAAACAGCCAAATTCTTCAACCCGCTGAACGTTTTTCCGATGTCACCGGTCAATGTCACCACTCCGTTTTTGGTGCAAAAAGCGCTGAAAACGGCGAACTCCGAAAAGTGCGTTTTTCGTGTCCTGCGTCAAAAGTGCAGCCCGGGCCTCCAAATTCGCTCGTTTTCCTGCGAAAACCTGCTCCAGGTGTTTGCAGTGCTCCGAAATCCGTGTTCTGCCTCGAAAAACCTGCGAATTCCAGCCCGCCGAGCTCGTCACCGCCGAAGTCACCGGTCTCTAACACGTCAGCCCGCCGAGGCACGGCCCAGAGCCAGCCAGCGTCTGACGCGGCAGCCCGCCGAGGTGCTTCCGAGTAACACGTCAGCCCGCCGAGGTTTTTCCACGTAACGCGTCAGCCCGCCGAGCTCGTCACCGCCGATGTCACCGGTCTCTAACACGTCAGCCCGCCGAGGCCCCGGGAGGAATCGAGCCTCTGAAACGTCGCTACGGAGAGCAAAGCAACGCCTAAGCCATCTCACCATGGGCTCTCGCTACCAGTCCAAAACGGCGCTTTTTGGCCCAAAAACTTTAGAAGCAGTTTCTCAAACAGTGAGAATCTGCCGCTCTCTTTGGGGCCGAAAAGTGCGCAAAAAGGCTTGGAAAAGCGAGTTCTCTGGCGAGTTCGTGTACTGAAGTTGAAGTGAGGGATATTTTCCTTCACTCGCATTCCTGCCAGTTCCGGGTCCGCCCCAGACGTCAGTTTTCCGCTTTCGGGCCGGAAAAGCGGCGAATTCCAGCCCGCCGAGCATGTCACCGCTTGTCACCGCTTTGTCACCGCTCTCTTTGGGGCCGGCCGGCTCCGCGGCTTCGGTGCGTGCCTGCTGCGGGCCCTCTTTACAGCGAATTTAAAGAAGCTCACCGTTTGAGCTCCTTCAAATTCCACGCCAACGTGCGGGCCTGGTGCGGCCCTGGCAATCCTGTTGTGGGCGCAGGATTGCTTCACTCAATCCTGTTGTGGGCGCAGGATTGCTTCACTCAATCCTGTTGTGGGCGCAGGATTGCTTCACTCAATCCTGTTGTGGGCACAGGATTGCTTTACTCAATCCAGTCGCCACAGCAGGATTGCCCTGATGCAGCACCAGCAGCTCTGGCTTGGAGCTGTTCTTGCCCGAGCACAGCCTTGTGATGGAGCCGGCCCTGCTGTAGAGCTCCCAGGCTTCAGGCACGTCGTTTATGCTTACGAGGAAGGGCAGGCCGCTTGCGAAGAGCGCGTCTCGGAGCTCCGAGTGGAAGGCCAGGTCATGCCCCCGCCTTCTCGTGCCATAGTAGTTCATGCTGCGGCCTGGGAAGATGTAGGGAGGATCGGCATAGATACAATGCCGCGGCGCTTGGCTGGGCAGAGCGCGTAGATATGCCAGCGCGTCCTGGCATCGCACTGTCACATTTCTCGGAGGCCGCTGCAGACGCCGCACGCTGCTCAGGCCAGTGGCCGCTGCTGTGTGAAGGAGCCCCACTTTCCCGACAAGCTGTTGCGCAGCAGGATGTACGAGCAGGCAGCCCGACGCCCGGCGCGGCCTCTCTGAGTGCCCGGCAGGAGGCGACTGAAGTAGAAGCGCCTGTCTATCTTGCGCCCCGCCAGGCGCAGCAAGGAGCGCAGGAAGACCGGGTCTTGCCTTAAGTAGCAGCGGTGCAGGTTTGCGACGGGCTCGAAGACGTCGACACCACGCACCTCCAGGGCCGGACGCCGGGTTGCGAGGTAGTACTCCAGCTTTCCAGAGCCGAAGAAGGGAGAGTGAAGCACGGCGACGTCCCCCAGCAGCCGGTCCACGTGTGGGGCCAACCACGATTTGCTTCCCATGAACTTCAGCCGCATGCCAGCCTTTAGATTCATCCCGGTCTCACTGCCCGGCTTCCCGTCGAATTTGGGAAGTAAGGCAAAGGAGATGGGGAAGATCAAGCTGTTTCCTATGGCAGAGTACAGCAGCAAACAGCCCTCGGACCCCGTGGTGCCCCTGGTACCATGTACGGGCATCTTCCTCGGCCCCAGCAAGTCCGGCAAAACCGTGGCGCTGATCAGCATGATTCTGGAGCAATACCGCGGAGTCTTCGAGAAAATCGATATCTTCAGTCCGTCCATCAATATCGACGACGGCTGGATCCCCGTCAAGAAGTACATAGAGGAGGACCTGGGGGTGAATACCGAACGGG